TTCTGGCAGACTCTTGTGGCCATTGTACTGCAGGATTACCTTGGATAGTTATAGCCAGCTACGATTTAAGCAACTCTCATTTGTATAGATTGTCATTCGTGTTTGTCCTTTTTTTTTTTTTCAGGAACTACATTTGGAATTGTACAACGTGGAGCAGTTTTTGACGATTGGTCACTTTGAAAAAGTCATTTTGTGGAGTTGGCTGCACATGTTTTTTGCTGGCAAGTAAATAGTTCAGTTTTTAAAATCTAGCATTTCTGAGAGAAGAGCAAACTTGATGTGACTGACAGCACCCTTCTGAAAACTGTTTGGACAATAATGATCACATCTAACCAAGGTTTTTCCCACGGTGGGTGGCAGTGGTTTCGCTGCCCACTAGTCCTGCTAGCCGCCCAGTTCTTTGAAAAATGTCTTATGGCCTTCATGCCTTGGCACAGAAATCGCTGTGCTCGGCAGACTTCTGTGCCAAGACGTGCAGGTACAGGTCCCCATAACCCAAATTAATACGACTTCGTCGAGGTGCACGCAGAAAAAAGATGCGGCTGCTGCATGTGTCCCCCTCCCCTCCACAGTCATAGTCGGATGTCTATTTGTCCACAATGTATGGAGAAAAATCTGTGTCTAACATTTATTCTATCCTAACTTGTACAGCCTCACTAGATCAAAGGCCACAGTTATTAAGAAGGCCTTCCACAAGATTGGCTTTTTCATCTGTGCAGACCCGATATGGTCTCTATAAATTAATTTTATGCGGTTGGCTTCTCATATTTATTTCTTGTAGATATAAAATAACTGGTGTAATGAAAGTTTCATGGTACCTTTTTTTTAATGGGTTGCTTGTCTCGGCTTGACCTATTTTCACTTTAAATTCGACAGCATTTGTGGGCGAACCTTTTTGTCACTTTTCACCAGTCGGTTGGCCTGTTTTATGGTTTGTGTGACCGATTTGACTCTAGCACAGGCAACGGCAGAGGCACATGATGACAGCTTGGTTTGTATGAGCGCTCACGCAGAGAGAAAGCTTTTTAAAATCGTGCATCTGACTCTATGCTTTTGTCAGCTCCAAATCCAACTTGTAAATTAGAGTGTATGGCATGCAGGTACACCAAAATGCATCGTTCGCACACATCGGAACAGTCTCTTAGAGAAAATTACGAAGGAGGGTCTGCCTTTCAACGGGCAACAAAAGAAATGCGCAGTCAGAATGCGCTGACGAGGTGGCCAAGCAAGCTCCTTGAGTGGTAGGCACTTGGGGTAAAGGGAATGGCTAGATCACATTTTGGGGGTAATCAGGTGCACAAAGTGTGGAGCTTGCAAACAGACTTGCATGCCATATATAAATACTCTGTAAATTTTTACCACTCGCTCAACTCAAAAGCGTGTGCACAGGTGTGCTCAAACGTGGGTAGGATGGAGCTCCCAAATTGCAAGATTGGGGACTGGGGACTAAGCTACTGCTTAGTCCCCAGTTTTTGATAGCAGTTTTAGTACACATGCACTCTTTCACCCGCTCAGTTCTGTGAAAACCTTCAGGGATATCTTAAGAGAAAATCGAGTTTCTATGTTCACACACTCTAAGCACTCAAGGCTGACCACCTGATTCGACAACGAGAAAGAGTGCAACTAGCCCTTCGTTCTAATGGGAGATTTTGAGTGGCTGCCCAAACTTATGAAAGTCTGAGATATGAGCTTAGCCAGTTTTACATAGACTCTTCTGCAACATCTCATGAACCTTAGAAATAAAGCATTACTCAAACTGGATCGAGTTTTCCGGTTGATTCATCAGTTCTCAAGAAATGCTTCACATGATAAACCAAATCACTATTGCAATTCCGGCCTTGCATTTTTTTCTAAGTTTCGAACGAATTTAGGCTCGAAGTGTATCGGTTTTGACTAAGGAACTGGAGAACAAGACCCTCAAGTCAAACATTGGTTTTAGATATCGGGTCACAGGATGAACAATTAGAGGCAATGTCCATTTGACTTTTGTATAAGATCCATGGCTAATAATTAAATGGGCTGAGGGGGGCTGTGTTTTATGCACAAGCTGAATTTGTACATCTTGTTGATCTGATATAGATATTTAATTAATTTTTTTTATGTTTTCTCTTCTTTAGCACATCATGTTACATGCAGCACCTGAAAACAAAGGCAAAACACCACGGGGGGCTCTACTTTGGCTCTTCAAGGACCCAAATACAGTGTTCGAAGGTACTTTTCTTATTTTCTCATCAATTATTCAGGTGACATTGCATGATTGCTGCAAGCAGCATAGGAAAGAGTACTCAATATTCGTTTAAAGAGATCCTTTTCCAATTCAAAATTCTGTAACTTATTTTTTATAGAAAACCTGGTTGTATCAGCGTCATAATGAACATTACTTTATGTATAGGGCAGCATCACTGAGGGACTGGCTGTTAAATGAACTGGAGAAATCTGCACCTACAAGCATTGAGCTCATATTCTTACCAAAGGTCTATTTTAGCAGTGAACACCATTGTGACATGTAAAGGCACAGCTCCGTCTCTGTGGAATATGAAAACAGCATTCTGTATATTTTCAAGCATGAGTGCCGACGCAGATGAGTGAGAGTGACATTTGGTGTTGTCGAGAAGGTGCTTTATATCGCTGTTTAAAAATGCAATGACTGCGGTGGTCAGTCAGACTGCAGATAATGTTTTGTAATCCCACTACCTTCTATAATTGTGCACATTGGTCTGAATGCCAGAACTGACAGAAGAAAAAACAACTGACATTGAGGAAACTTGCTGCAGATGCATTGCTCAGCTGTGTTGCCTGCTTTCCACAACAGGTTGTGGCAGCTCTCGATTGCATACATTGGTGCCCATTGTCAAATTTAAATAATTTAGTTCTATTTTTCACAGACTGGAGTTGCACCTTAAAAGTTTTCATGGGAATCTGTGTCACAAAAAGAAAACCTTTGATGAGTTCAGCTTGCTAAATGAAGGCATTGATTCTTCTCGCTCATTTTACAGCCCACCTTTCTGTTGCCACCGCCCTATGCGGAGAGCAAGTCGTCTGCTTCTTGCACAGACATTATGGTGATGTCAGAACGGTGACAAGCTCTCATTGACTTTGATTGGAAGGATATAGTGGGTAGACCACAATGCTAGACACCATGAGATCTACCCCCTATTTTTTTTGTTCAATCAGCCAATAAGAGCTCGGCCTTCTGACATCACCGCAACCCCTGTGCAAGAAGCAGACAAACTTGTGCTCCGCATAGGATTACGGATACTCAAGAGTGCTTTCCGTAATATAAGTTACGGAAAGCCTGCTCTGTTTGCCCTTTTACCGACAACTTTTAAGCACTTTTACGGATACTAGAGCGATTTCCGTAATAGGTTTTACGGAATGCATATTCCAGTCCGTTGTTTTACGGACAGCTCTTGAATAGCGTTACGGATAGTAGAGCACTTCCCGTAATCTGTTTTGCGGAATGTCCTTTTATTTACGGATTGTGTACGTGTTTAAAAGGATTTTTCCGTGATTAGATTTACGGATGACCTTTCCGGCAGCATAGGTGCCAGAGAATTTCTCCGTAAAAAAGGGCAAATTTTTTTACAGATGGGCTATTGGCATTACCGCTATGCCACAGCTCATTATTATTGTTTCATGAAGAGCGCAGACAAAAAGCATCTGCGAGCGTAGTTCAGATATGTCTGCTGCTCGTGTTCATCCGTGGAAGCCAGGGCTGCCTGTCGTAGCATGCATGCTTGCTCTCTAGCTTCAGCTGAGTCGCATACGTTTAGTGAATTAAAGTATACGGTCGTCCCGAAAGGTTCAGACATCGAGGGCGTTTCTCTGAAACATGCTTTGGGTGCACGTGGGCCCGTTTGTGAAGGAATGTCCCTGTTGCCTAAAAAACGCAAATTTCAAAAGTGGAAGAAAAAAAGAAGAAATAAGGACGGGTACACACTTATTCCCTTGTTCGAATTCAATATGAGCAGCTGTCACCATTGCTGAGAAACCCTCAGCACCGGCATTAGGTTCCAAGTTGTTATAGCATTTTTGAACTTCTGCATTGGAAATGATGCAATAACATTGATAAAATGTTTGCTCCAAAAGTGAGAATGTCTGCCCCAAAACCAGTTTTTGCCTGCTACAAGAGCTCCAAATCACCATTTGTCCGTTCCACCATTGCAGTTACCACTTGCTTTAACTTAATTTATTCTAACTGTGCTGTTTGTTTTACGTTTTCAGATCGAGCATCGCTCAAGGCAGGCGTTTTCTGTGACCTAATAAATGTACAACAGGTTTGATTTTGCATTTTACTTGTCATTTTACTGGCTGTTCTCCTCGAAGTTAACTTGCAGTGATCCTATGGCAGTCGAAAGTATGTAATAGCTTCTCTGGCAACGCTGCAATCTGGTTAGCCTATCCTATCAGCTCAGTAGTGATCACAATCACAACGTCCATCACATACGTTCCATCAAAGACCACCACAATACGTTCCATCAAAGACCACCACAGTACGTTCCATCAAAGACCACCACAGTACGTTCCATCAAAGACCACCACAGTACGTTCCATCAAAGACCACCACATACGTAATTTGGGACATTCCATCAGTGGCAGTCAGACGTCGTCTGATGGACCATCAGGGCACGTTCCACCAGGGCTGCTGACTGGCAGTCAGTGTCCCAAATTACGTACCTTGATGGAATTTTCAATAGGGTGCCTAATGTTCCTCGCACTTCTGCTTGAACACACAGCAAGCACGTACTTCCTACACGGAGCGGTTGCTCACTGACTTCGTGTTGTAGACATCCCATCGCTGCCACCATATCGTAGCCATTGGGTAGGCATACTGTTAACGGTTTGCGTTAGGGAGCATACATACGAGGATCAACGCAGGACGACAGCTCCACTGGCTTGTGTCGCAGCAAGTGCCCCGGCACGGTTCGTACCTTTTCCTGTTTGAAACATCGTGGCGCTGCAGTCGACGGTCACCTCTAGATGCAGCCTCCCGACACTACCTACGGCTCAAAAGTGGCTCCCGTGTAAAGTTGGAGAGCAACGCGCAGATCTTCCAGACTCCGACTCATGCTGTTGGGGAACGTTCCTCTCAGGATGCGAAATGACTTCATTTGTCCTATGACCCACTCCACAGGAATGCGTACCTTGGCAATGGCTCCCATCCTAGCTTCATCTTCCAGGGAGAGCTGCGGTTTTCCTCCAAGGAAGGGTGGAATGTTCAGAATGGCCCCGACAGCTTCTACTTCTTCAGAAATCACAAACCCCTTGTCTGCCATGACGGAGTCACCGGGCTTGAGGAGGGCACACAGTCCGGAATTTGCTATCATGGTTTTGTCCGACACCCGGCCAGGTGCGAGGTCGCTCACGAAGGACACAAACACATTAGGGGTGATGCCCAGAAGGCCTTTTGTAGTGTTATGGCATTTATAGCTTGAATAAATGTCGCTCTGCACCGTGAAGTCACTGGGCGTCTCAGTGAATACTTCCGTGCAATCCAAGATTACCCGAGTCGATGGATACACCCCGGTAAAGCACTCCGGCATGTACTCTTTAACAACCTGTCGGGAGGGCCAGTTGCTCACTTGCGCGAGGTGGTCTGCCAGGAACCCAACGCAAAAGGTTCAAAACAAACTTACCGTGCTGACGTGCACACCGAACCGGTATCCGAGGTCTTGCTCCAGAAGCCCCACCCGGAGGCGCGCCAACACGAGTAGGAGATGGTCCTCCATGGACAGATTCAGTGGCCTTCCCTGGGGAGCTTGGCGCTTTTTGTAGGAGTCGTAGCCCGTTTGCACGAACTTGACAAAGGCCAGAAATCTCTCAAGGGACTCGAATCCTGTGTAAGCGAGTTTCTCGCTATCCTGCTGCATATCGAAGAGTGTGAAGCCCTGGGGAGCCACCGTGACATCAATAACTTGCTCGGCTTCATCGTAGATGTTCTTCAGACGAGCCACTTCTTTGAGCAGGACTTCATCCTTTTCTCGTAGACAGTCATTGTCCTTGCACAGTCTCTAATTCTCCGAAGAGAGCTCCTCGACTTGTCTAATCGCTCAAGCAAGGCCTGGTCCAATGAAGTCATAATGCTGTACTGGCGATCTGCAAAATGGGAAGGTAGATGACATCATGGTTTCACCCAGAAATGCACAAGTTACTAAAAAAAAGCAGTTAGGTTTAGTTATTGAGTATTGGCTCGAGAAGTAATTTGAGTAGAGTAGAAATTACACACCTCCAACAGTAATTGAATAAACTATTTTAAAAAATAGTGAATTACTTTGGAAGTTACTTTTTATATAATTGTCTTGTTATATATACGGCAGGAAAGAACAAATCGACCTTCTAATCCGGGAACGAAATCCCCTTAGCTTAATAGAAATACAGTCACTTTATCGCTCGTGTTTTTACCGAAACTCTTTATTAGCCCAAAGAAGAAAGTGGCTCTCGAGCTTATTGTCCGAGAATTTGTCCTTTTTCCTTCAAAACAGACATCCAACTGAGGCACTTGTTAGGATAGCCCCCTTGTATTTAACAAACTGGCTGTGCTGGCCCGGGTACTTTGGTATCCCTACCGAAAAACTCGGTATAAATTTTCGCTATCCGGATTATGGAGCCGGAAATCTATCTGGACTCTATCCGGATTCTATCTGGAATTTAGGTTTTCAGAAAGAATTCCTTTGTCTGCAATATGGATTTCGAGTTTCCAGAAACAAATTTCCGGTTCCATAATCCAGATAGTGAAAAGTTATACCGGATTTTTCGGTAGGGATGTCTTACACATCGCTACTAACTACGATAATATAGCAATAGCAATGGTAATTAACGGGTTTAAAGCACGAAAGTAGGCAACCTTCTTGGAGTAGTGGTTCCGTTTCGGCCTCCCGAGTGCAAGGTGAAGGTTTTGGACCCTGAGTGGTCTCTTCCCCAAACCGTCTTTTGGGCATCAATGCTCATAGCCAAACTTGCTTCGAAACGTAAAATCCTAATATTCCCTTTTGAAGCAGGAAAATAAAGAAGGTTGGTTTCTTTCTTTCTGTCGTCTGCTACGGGCTGCTCTCGCTTGCTGACGTTCGCAATCGCTTGGGAAGGGAGCAACAAACCGCCTTTGTCGTCTGCTCTTAACCACTAGATTCCGAAAGTAATTTAAATTTGAGTACAGGTTACCTGGGAAAAGTATTTACAGTGAACTAGTAATGACGAAAAATAAAAAGTAATTTAAAGGTAACGAATGACTCATAAAAGTAATGAAACTACACTAGCTTCAGTAGAGTAGTATTATATACGTCACGTTTGATCCGAAGAGTAAAACCACGAACTACTGTAAACGTTCCTGTGTATGAGTTTATATTATAGGAGGAATGAAACATTATTGGGTTTGAATGTTACCCACTTAGTATGACAGAAATATACTCGCATGCTGCGCCACCGAACCAGAAACGTCTTTGACACTATGTAGTTTAAAGAACGGAAGTGGGCTATTTCATAGTCATGGGAACGACAATGTTGACAGAGAGATGGGGGGACCTCAGGTTGACGATAATTGAGTGCAGCATATGTACGCTCAAAACCGGTCGGATCCTCCAGTCCGTACGACCGCAGCGCCGCCGTTTACATCCGGGACTTTTCTACGCTCGCCTATCGTTGGCGCCTGATCCTACTACACCTTTCTAGTATGCGCCCCCTTTTCCATCGCTTGGTGGCGGGTATGTCAACGGGTTATTACTTGTTTCCGTTCTTTCTAAACTGCATTTGTTTCTTTTCTTATCTAAACTAATGAAAAAAAAAATGAAAGCCGCTTACAACTCCCTGTAACGCCGAATTAGAGCGCAGCTCTTGAGGAGGAGGAGGGAAGGGCACTGGGGGGGTTAAACTAACCAGGGGGGGGTCACGTGACCTTGGGGGTCACGTGACCCCCAATGCCGATGATGTCATCACTGACGTCACTGCTGACGTCATCAGTGACGATGACGATGCGGGTACCGATGACGTCATTAGTGACGTCACTGATGACTTCACCAGTGATGATGACGATGACGATGCGAATGTCGGTGACGTCATCAGTGACGTCGCTGATGACGTCATCAGTGATGATGACGATGACGATGCGGATGCCGGTGACGACATCAGTGACGTCACTGATGACGTCATCAGTGATGATGACGATGACAATGCGGATGTCGGTAACGTCATCAGTGATGATGACGATGACGATGCGGATGCCGGTGACGTCATCAGTGATGATGACGATGACGATGTGGATGCCGGTGACGTCATCAGTGATGATGACGATAACGATGTGGATGCCGGTGACGTCATCAGTGATGATGACGATGACGATGTGGATGCCGGTGACGTCATCAGTGATGATGACGATGGGATGCCGGTGACGTCATCAGTGACGATGACGATGACGATGCGGATGCCGGTGACGTCATCAGTGATGATGACGATGACGATGTGGATGCCGGTGACGTCCTCAGTGATGATGACGATGACGATGTGGATGCCGGTGACGTCATCAGTAATGATGACGATGACGATGCGGATGCCGGTGACGTCATCAGTGATGATGACGATGACGATGTGGATGCCGGGGACGTCTTCACTGATGATGACGATGTGGATGCCGGTGACGTCATCAGTGACGATGACGTCATCGGGGGGTCACGCGACATCGGCGGGGGTCACGTGACCTCGAGGAGGGGGTCACGTGACCTCAGGGGAGCCACGTGACTTTGGGGGTCACGTGACCTCGGGGGGTCACGTGACCCCCCACGAGGTCACGTGACCCCGGTGGGGGCTCGCGCGGTGCATTATGGGACATTTCCCATGATGCACCGCGCGGTTACGCCGACGGCGACGGCGACGGCGACGGCGACGGCGACGCCGCTAAAGCCGGAAACGGGCCCCTAAGAGCTGCGCTCTAAAAAAACTACTTTCGTAAATAATTGACATGGTTCGCGCCACTTATATTGTGTAGTTCGACAAACAGAAGCTTTGAGCGGCTCTGACCAGTAGTAAGGCTAGGACCTAAGACGTCACATATCGCGCGCTTTCGGCACCGCGGGTCGCCCCCTAAGTGGAGAAAGTTTCCGCGTCGTCCGTTTAAAATATGACGCGCTGATATTTAGTCACTCTCTCCGTGCCCGCTGGCTTGCCCTAGCTCTGAGGAACGTGGAAACCGCAAAAAAGGTAGACGCTTAAGTATGATGGCAGGGCCCCTTTAAGCACCCCCCCCCCCCTCTCCCCCCGGCTTGAGTTCAAAGTATGTGGCTGCTAATTGCAAAACTATTAACCAGAGCGCCGCTGTCCCGAAGGAGTCCCATACCATTTAGTGGAGCGAAGTTTCGTCTAAAACATTCATTGTTTTTGCAGTGTTAAACGTAAAAAAGAAATGTACATATAGCGAAATGCCTCCACAAAACAAAATATTAGAGAGAGAAAAAAAATTAAGCCCCACACTGGGGATTGAACCCTTGACCGCTGCGTATGAGGCAGACGCGCTATACCGCTATGCTACTCTACTTCTGTTTTCTTTATTGCCACATATTGACACACATTTACAAACGTGACAGTTAAAAGAATAACGCCGGCCAGTCCCCGGCAGGCGTACGTAATTTAAAATTCGTTCATGGCAACCAGCCTTTTCAGGACAGGCAGCCAGTCAGGCTGTTCACTGAGCATTCCAAACATCTCTTGTAACTGAATGACACTTTCTATAAAATAGTCCCCGGCTTGACGAGGGTTCACTTCAGAATTTCGTACATCCATTCTACTCCGCCATAGACTGTGGCGGCCCAACAGCATCACCATGTCGTAAGGCAGTCCCCCACATTGTCTATTGGAAGGAAGCGAATCCTGGTACGCAGTTAATGGCAGGCCCTTTTTTAAAGTACGTTGTAGAATATCCCATAAAAAATAGCATCCCAACAGTCTAAGAAGATATGTTCGACAGTTTCTGGTTGTCTGCACAATAGGCAGTCAACAAACCAGGGAACGAAAATGCCTTTCTCCTGAAGCCAGGGCTTTACTGGGAGCGTTCCGCTGTGTAGTTAAAAAAAAAGTTTTTACGGATGGCCGTACCGGCATTCTTTTAAAGGGAATTCCCTTAGCAAAAAGAGGCCACTTCAAACGAAGTTGAAATATATTTAGTACGAATATTCATTTTGTATTTATTCTGTATTATTTTGGCCGCATTCGAAATACGCGCGTAAGGTATTCAAAATACATTATAAATATGAATCAAAAATATTTTAGAAATACCAAAAATATTATTCTTTCACACTCAAGATGCCATCTGTGCATTAAACACCGGTTACACAATTTTTTTTTAATTTTCGATTTCGTCAGCAAATGGTGTCCCTGTGGTATTTGAAGGCACTAAATACATCTCACAAAGCTACATTAGAAACGAACACAAACTCAAACACCATGACGCACTGAACAGCTCATTCACAGCCCCGTTGACTGCTCTAGAGCCTTATATAGCCTACATATTGAAGGTAATCATTTTTTCGGTGACCACCTCTGCTCTTATTAAGGTTCCAAGTATTCGATCTTCTCCTCGGGAGTCTGTCAAAGGGGAAACAGTGTTTTGAAGTTCGTGGACGATATCTCTTACTAAAAGGCATTGGTACAACTAATAACAATTAGGCACAGTCCCTAAAACAATATCCCCACAAACGGCTCATAAAATACATGTTATTGCTTCTCTGCGTAGCACCACTCAGGACGAAGCGGATCAAGGCAGTTTCTTCACTTTAAAATACTGTAAACGACTTTATTTTCGTGAGGACCTAATTCTCGCTAAGTTGGCGAATCGCCTACAATTCCGAAGAATAGGTCCCGTAAACAATTCCGGCAAAATGTAAAAACATTAAAATCTATATTGCGATCCCAGCGCGTCGCGAAATTAGAATTTGCGAATTATTCCAAACTCCAACTTTGACCTAAATCGCGAAATATTGAGCCCGCGAAAAATAAATATTTTACAGTAGTTGTTTTGCCTTTCCTTTTTAGTAGTTGACTATTTAATATGGTAGTTAATGTCACTGTATTAAAGTCACTATTCAGATCACGTACAAT